CAGTCCCCACGATGGGATGGGTGCCTTGTACAGAGGCCCAGGGAGCCTCCTTGCCCCTTCTGCCACGTGAGGACACGGAGGGGACGTCAGCCTCCAGAGCCGGGAGGCGGAAGCGTCCGTGCTCTATGCCCAGGGCCTGGGCACCGGCACAGCGGCAGGGACGGACCTTCGAGGATATCCTCACGCACACGGAAAACCCAGAAGAGCTGATGCAAAAGCCAGAGCAGAGAGCTGAGAGGCGGCAGACGGCGAGCCAGCAGCAGCGACAGCAGCGAACACCACGCGTCCAAACAGCCCCGGGGACGTGTTCTGGGCTGCGGCACAGCTCTGGAGCGGCCAGGCCGGGGCTGGAGCTTGACTGCATGCCGCTGGCTTGGCTCTGGGAAGTTGGGGGCCCGCCCGAACGACCCTGTGGGTGCTGAGGAAGGGAACGGAAGGCTCAGCCTGTGTTCCAGGGTGGCACATGTGAGGAGGGCACCTGGACCGGGAACCTTGGAGTCGCGGACACCATGACAAAACCAGCTCCCCAGAGAGCAGAGGCAAGAGTGGTGAGAACCTGCAGGGACAGGCTTTGGGCCCTAGGGCTCTGGGGCAAGCTGGAGGGGCCGCACGCTCACACGGAACAGCACACAGAACAGTCTCCTTGACGGAGGCCGGCAGCCTGACCTGAGCTGCTGGCTGGAGGACAGTCCTGCAGCGCTGCACCAGCAACACAGGGAGGTGACCCCGGCCCTTCCCAGAGGTGCTCCAGGATCAGATGGGACACCAGGCCGCCACTAAAATTGGGGCTTATGGGGGCGCCTGGGTGCCTCAGTCAGTTGGGCATCTGGGTCCTAGGATCTCAGGGCCCTGGGATGGAGCCCCGCGTTGGGCTCTGCACTCAGCAGGGGATCAGCTTGGGGATTCTCTCCCTCTCTCCTTCCCTCTGCCCCTCCCTCTCTTTCACACACGTGTGTGTACTCTCTCTCAAATAAGTAAGTCTTTAACAAAATAAAAATAAATAAAAAATAAAATCAGGGATTATGGGGCCATGGACCTACCTGATGTCATGTCCCCAAGCCTGTAATGAGTGATTGGGGTGGACAGGCTTACCGCCAGCAGAACCCACCACTGGTTGGTGGTGCAGCTAGGGGGGAGCCCTGAACCCCAGACCAAACCGCCTGTCTGAACCACGGTACGGGGGAGGGGGCTGGCAGAGCGCAGGGCCGCCTGCAAGGACAGCCCCATCTAGCCCCTGCCCTGACCCCAGGCCACGTCCGGCACCTGCACGCCAGGATCACGGGGCCACTGGGTTCATGGTAACAGGCAGCGTGACTCACACGGAGCGAGCCGGCGTCTTGTACCCTCCACATCACCACCGTTCCCGGACTAGAAGCCGTGTGCCCCGCGTCACACACTCGTGTTTCCCAGTCGGTACAGATGCGTGTCGCAGAGGTGACGGGCACTTAGCCCCATGCCCCGTGGGGCTCACTGTGACTCCTGAACCGAGTCAAGCGTCCCCCTCCCACCCCGGTCCTTCGCTCCCCGGGGGCGGCGGTCCCCTGGGAAGTGCCCAACCTACCACCCATCTGTCCGTTCAGATGCCCACTCCAGTGGCCGCGTCTTCACTGCCAGTAGCTGTCGGGCTCTGTCCCATCGTGTGCGCAGCCTCCCGATCTCTGCTCGCACTTTGTTTTGTCCTGCTTTCACATTTTAGGTCCCCATGTGGCGCTCAGTGGAGTCTGACACTGTGGCCCCTTGAGGTCTGGTTGTGTGGATTCTTCCGCTGAGCCTCGCTCATGGCTACTCCCTGCTGGTGTGGACCGTCTGCCCAAGCACACACGAGGCCACGTGCGCTCAAGTCCTCAGAGGCCAAACCAATACTGCGTTCCTCCAGAAAGAACGTGCTTCTGCTTCCACCAACCCAGGACGGCTTTCTCCCCCGGGGCTTCCTGGGCCACAGTGGGCTTCTGGCAATCCCATCACCTCCTTCTGCAGCGAGCACTTTCCTTCGAGCTCACCCTTGCAGCAAGCTGGATGCTGGCCCCTTGTCAGGAGCCACGCCTGAGGCTGTCAGAACAGAACCAAGTTGGCTCGCGCCCAGACACCCAGGACCTCAGCACCTCCAAACACGACTGGGCGCCTATCGCGTGCACGCTTGGGAACATGCTAAGCAGACAGACCCCCACCCCACCGCGCTGACCCTCCGTGCAGCCCCTGCACCCGCCTGGGGAACTCCTTAGAGCTTGGCTCTGCCCATGGCATCCTGGGCACTCTGTCCCAAGCTTCAGAACAGAAGCGCTCCTTGCTTCCTCACATCATGTCGGGCTCGAGCACATGCGCTTTCCTCCACTGCTTTGGGCAAAAGATTCATGGCGAGGGCGCTTGGGTGGCTCAGTCGTTAAGTGTCCACCCTGGGCTCAGGTCATGATGCCGGGGTCCTGGGATTGAGCCCCACATCAGGTTCTCTGCTCAGCAGGAAGCCTGCTTCTCCCTCTGCCCCTCCCCCTGCTCGTGCTCCTTCTCAGATAAATAAAATCTTAAACAAAACAAAACAAAACCAGACATTCATGGCGACACACAGCAAGTAGCAGCCAGCTACATGGAGGAAACACTGTGCAGAACCCGACCTTGGGGACAGGGTGGGGGCACGTAGCTGCCTCCCCTGCTGGCCCTGAACCTCTCCCTGTCATTTTTTTTTAAAGATTTTATTTGTTTGAAAGAGACAGAGATAGCAACAGAGAGCACAGGGCGGGGCAGAGGGAGAAGCAGGCTCCCCTCTGAGCAGGGACCTGACGTGGGGCTCGATCCCCGGACCCTGGGATTGTGACCTGGGCCGAACGCAGAGGGTTAACCGACTGAGCCACCCAGGCGCCTCTCCCCCCATCATATTTTAATTGAAAACCAAAACTTCATGCTTGGTATAAATATTTCAGGTTAATGTTCTGAATCCAGCCATTAAATTTCACCTATACTCATACAACCATCCGTGTAGCTTGTTAGCGAATGTATTCTGAGCTAAATTAAAAACCACTCGGGAACAAAAATGGTAAAGTTTCATTGGAGAAGTTTAATTCTCTACTTTTATAGATATCCCGTATTAAATTAGAAGGCCGAAAAGCAAAAATATACTTTACAATCAAAGATAACTCCGGACACTGGACCCCGACAGAAGCATAGGAATCAGCTCTGAGAATCGTTCCCACCAGCGCACAGAGCTGCGGCCAGAGGAGTCGGTAAGGGGAGGGGCGCCTCCAGGAACACTGGAGGGGAGGCGGGAGGAATCCCCGGCACACACCATTGCTCCGTCCTCGCTGACAGCGTTGGGGGGGGGCTGCATCTGGAGGAAAGGCCATCTACCAGCTCACGGAGGCCCCCGGGATCTGCCACCTGGCCGTGCATGGGGCCATGAGGGACGGGGCCCCAGACACCAGCAGCCACCCTGGCTCGTGGGAGTCCATGGAGGCCACGCTGTGGCCATGTCATTGGCCCGTCCCAGGCCTGCTTCAGGGGAACTGCAATGTGACCCCCCCCTTCCACAGGAGCAGCAGGCCGCCACAGGCCAGGAGCCCACAGGACAGCGGGGCACGAACAAGGAAAGGAGGGCCTAACACAACCAGGAAAGGCCCTGCAGAGTGTGGGCTCTCTCCGATGTCACAGTGTTCACGAGGAAGGGAGCACAAGGGACAGGTTTACAGTCCCTCTCCCGCCAACCGAGGTCCCGCGAGTGAGCCCGCTGGGCTGCTTGCCGGGTTGTGTGCCTGTCCCCACAAGGAGCATGTCCCCGACGCGCCCAGACATCCCAGCAATGGGGAGGCGGGGAGCGGCACTGGGGCCTCTGGGAACCCGGGTCCTGTGCTACACGTCCGTGCAGGTTGTCCCCACAGGAGAGCTGCAGGCCTGCCCGACACTTTTTTGTTTGGGGAGAAACGTGCTGCATGGCCCCAAACTGACTGAACAGGGAGCTCACACGTCCAAGCCAGCGGTCGGCGTCCACCGGCTGGCGGCGTCTTCACTGAGGGGCCTGGCTGGTGCGGTCACCGTGCTGCCAGCTCGCGCTCCTTCAGCCTTCTGCGCTCACATCTCCGACCGACCCGCACCTGGTGGCAGCAGAAGCAGCGTCCTCTAGCCGACAGGAAACTCCCCCAGGCAGGGGGAAGGCGGCACAGGAGTCCACCCTCATACTGACCCCTCGCAGGGCCACGCTGCTGGGGCCCATCGTGCCCATGGCGGAAAGACTCCCTCTCCAAAGGCAAGCGTCTCATGCACAGGCTGCAAGCAGCACCTGACAAACCTCTCACGTGGCTGATTTTCACTTAGTGTCCCCCACCCACCTGTCTCAGTCCTGTGGCCACGGCTGCCACGCAGCCCACAATGCAGCACACGCACCTCAGGCCTCCCGGGAAGACTTAAACATTCACCAGATTGCTGCTTCTTTCACCCAAAGTAAATTCACAGGCCTGATACAGTGTTTACTCAAATTAACATCAGTAGTAAGCCAACGGTTCCTAAATACCCTTTAATAAACAAATACAAAGTACTGGACCTATCACTTCTTATTCCCAGTTTCAAGGTTCTGTTCCAAGAGCTGGTCAGAGAATGGAGCGGCAACCCCTTGGAGTCACACCCCACAGAGTTGGCAGGAGACAGCAGGAAAAGGCATCACGGGGTCCCTGGGCCCAGGACGGCCCTGCTCCAGAGCCCGTGGGTGGGGACAGGCGGGCTGCTGGGCTCAGCGCCCCCCGGATCCAGTGCGATCTGCATCCGTGCAGACCCTGCCGCTGGGCGGGCAACATGGAAGTCGGTCTGCCCAAGACACTGGTGAGCAGCCCAGAACCACACACAAGGAACATCCACGGAAGGATGTGAATTTTAAGGTTGAAAGTTGTAAAAATAACCCAAATCGGCTGTTAATGTTCTATGTGCCTGAAATAATAGGTCTACTCCGGTTAAGTAAACTGCATGCCATTAATCAAACCTGGAGAACAGCGACACTTTCTAAAGCGTTGGCAGGTGCTTGCAGAGAGTGATCTTGGGACAGCGTGCGGAGAAGGAGCCCACGGCACATGAAGACACATATCCCCAAGTGGCGGGAGGGCGAGTGTGCGTACACAGGACACGGCCCACGTGCCTACTCTGCTCCCAACGAAGCCAGGAGGAGAGCCACGCACACCCACGCCTGAGTGACGGAGGGCTCAGCAGCCGGGGACCAACCACCCACATGCATCCCACACGAGGGTGAGGACTGGAACTACAGATGCCCGAGAAAAGGCTACACAGGGCTCCTTCACAGGAAGGGGGGGAGGGGCCGGGCCAGCACATCGGGAGGGCCGAGGCCACGTGGCGGCCGGGGCTCTAGGACTCCTCGCCCATCTGGAGCAGGGAGTTGATGGCTGCATCCCTGTCCCCTCTCTGGGCTTCCAGCACAGAGCGGATCACCTCCCGGTCCATGTTGGGGAACATGTCCTGGATGGCTCTCAGGTCCTCCTCGCTGCAGCGGGGCTGGGCGCTCACGGCTGCTGGGGGCAGGGCCACGGGCACCACACCAGGGCTGCACACTGCAGGCACACCTGCAAGCACAAGACACCGTTTAGGGAACATGCGACGGCACCAGTGCCCACGCTGAGCGCTGGCCCTGGGGTCAAGGACGTGAGCCCCCTGCCCGCAGCCCCCACGCACAAGTCCACTGCTTGCAGCCCTCCTCCCCAGCAAGTGCACTGTCCACGCTCCCAGCTCAGAACCCGACAGGCTACTCGCACTACGGTCCCTTCAAACTCCAATGTTCATGGACCGAAGGCCACAAAAAACTCTGTCAGAGAAGGAACAGCACATGGGACGAGAGGCCCTGATGGTCCCACATCAACTGGCGACTGTGGGGCAGGCCATGCACCAGGTGGGTCCCTCCGATGCCAACAAGCACGAGAAACCTGAGAGCAAGATGCACACCTGGAGCGTTTCCTATCATGGGCCAAGGTGGTGAGATGCTGAGAGCCCAACTCTCCAGCTGACCGTCTCCAGGGTGGATGAAATCACGGGGCAGAACAGCAGTGCGAAGGCTTTCCCACACCGGGCGGCACTGCCCCCATCTGGTGGGCACGGCCTCCATGCCGCCCACGCACTGCTCAGCGCATACAGACCTTGCCGTACGCTTCGAAAAGGCTCTCACCCCCACCCCAGGGTTAACTCCCCCGTGGGACCCCCACCTGTCGGGGGGGGCAGCACCTGCAGGCAGCCCCCCTCCCGCGGGAGCAGGGTCTGCACACACACGCACCTCCCCACATCACACGTGCACACGTGTGCCATGTACACACACGCACGTGCACGCATGCACACACCAATACTGCAGACCACACACGTGCACGCACACACATCACTCATCACACGTGCACACGCATGCACACACTGATCACACGTGCACGCACACACATTACTCATCACACGTGCACACGCATGCACACATACTGAACACACGTGCACACGCATGCACACACATACTGCAGACCACACACATAACACACATCACTCATCACATGTATGCACACACACCAATACTGCAGATCACACACGTGCACACATATGCACACCTCGACAAGGTTAAGGATATAAATTATTCACAGCAGAGAAGACTCTGAAGCACAAGCCTCACACGACCACGGGCAGCGGGCGCAAGTCCCTGTTTGTAGGAAACGTACTGGAGCCGGTGGGCGGCTCCGCCTCAAGGTCCAGGCAAAAGCTCCTTCCTTTCCTTGGCCACCTCCTGCGAGTAGGTCACTGTCCCAAAGCTTACAAACGTGCATCAAAAGAGAAGTTCAAAGTCTCCATTTATACAGAAGTCTGCCTTTCTCAGAATAAACGTTTTAGGACAAAATTTAAAAGCATTTACAAACAGAGCCAAGGAACCAGAAAAACATGTCTCCTGACAAAGTGGACTTTTCGTTACTTGAACAGGTCCCGGTGCAGTGACGCTGTGGCTGAGGTGTGCGCCCAGGAAGACGTATGAGCAGGACCTCACCTGGCCATCTGGAGCAGGGTCCTGATCAAAGGGGCGCCTGGGCCACAGGTACAGACCCTCAGGAGGGGCTTTGTGACCGTGAGGGCCATGGGGGCCGAGGCTGTGGCGGTACAGCTCGTCCGGCTCTGCACCTTTGCCTCCAGGGAGCGCAGCCCAGCCCACACGCTGATTCTGGACTTTGGCCTCCAGAGTGGAGAGCAGACATCCTTCTGGTTTCCGCGGCCCCAGGGCACTCACACCTTTACCCATAAGGTGCCTGTTCCTGCTCAAACCTCCAAGGCAGGCGGTCGAACCCCGATCTCACACAGACCCTGAAACCGCTGCAGGGAAGGGGCAGGGAGAGGCCCCACGGAGAGCCCCCCTGAGGCAAGGCAGGTGCCCAGCCATTGGACTGCTCCAGCAGGAGGGAGTGTTCCCCCACTCAGTGTGCTTCCCAGGCCAAATACATCCCCTCGGTTTTCCTGAATTTCTGGGTCTCTGCCGAGGTTCCCTCTTCCCACTTAGTAAGACACTCTTTATCTGTGAATGAGTCCTGGTTACTCTGGAGCTCCTGGGTCACTGAGGCCACTTCTTATTGACTGGTTCTGTCCCAACCAGGGCTCACCCTTTCCCCGCCCTGTCTGCTGTACGGTGCCCTGTGGAAACCGGAGTCCACGGCTCTCCCCGCTTCCTGAACCCCTGTGGGCACCCTGGATGCGGGTGCAGCCTCCCCGCCCTGCCCCCTTCCTTGTGGGGCTGTGGCTAGGCTCCGGGGTGAAGGTCAGCCCAAGGCGACACCCTGGTCCTGCGCCAGCAGCAACTGCACAATGATGAGGCCTCTCTTCTCTGGCTGGGTGGAAACCCCGGGGCACCCCCGCCCTGAGGCAGCATGGCCCCTGCCCCCCAGCGTCCTGCCCCAGTCCAGCCCCTTTCGCACGGTGGGACCACCATGCCGCCTCGGGCAGAGACCGCGGTGACCTGGGGCTCCTCCGCCTTCCTTCTCTTGGGGATCACAGTCCTACAGGGCCTGTCTGCTGATGCCCGATCACAGCTGCCGCCTCGTCCATTCTGCCTGGGTTCATGGCTGTTTGCGGCAGGGGCTGGTTGAGTCCAGTTACCATCGCAGCCAGGGCAGAAGTGAGCCGATGGCTGACATTAACATTTGAAAATCCAAAGACATGAAAGCAACCCAACTGCTGTCACAAACTGCTACTTTACAAAGATGAATAAACATGACAGAACAGGAACATTTGGGCACACGGCTCACTTCACCCCACAGGGCAGGATCTTTCATGACGATAACTCGTATACTAACATGTTCAGAGATTACGTTTCTACACCTCCACGAAAAGTTCAACTCGCCAACAGTCTGGGGAAAAACACCTATATCCTACAGACGTATAAAATAATTCAAGCCTAAGATCATATCCTTGTATTTGGAAGGATCCCGTGAGTCACGCGCAGACAGGATTTAGCCTGCACGCTGCGCCACAAGCCCCCGAGGACAGCGCCAGGAAGGGGGAGTGACACACACCTGTGATGGGCACGTAGCCAACGCCTTGCTGGTACACAGTGGGCATCAGGACAACAGGCTGAGGCGGCATCATCACGGTGGCCGGCAGTGACTGGAACACACGGAAGGCGATCATGGCGTCACAGAGAACACAGCACCCATGGCAATGGACACCCTAACACTGCCCTGGTGGAAGGCTGGGGCGAGCAGCTTGGCTACAGGGGCTGTTACAGAGCTGTGGCCAACTGACGTGGGATCAGAAGGGAACATGGTCCAAGGAAGCAAACAGGTACCTACACCTGTAACGCTTCCCGACTGCCTCTAGAATGCTACCGGCTCCGTTAACAGAACCGGGGTTGTGTGTTCGTGTGACAACAGCAGTTGTGTAATCGAACGTCTACGAATCGAATCACACTGACGTTGGGACTTGCTTTTAACAGCCCAGGGCTAAAGAAGGGGAATGAAGCTCTGCTGGGCTGGGACACCTGCAGGGAACTTCCTCCAGGCAGAGTTAAAACAACAGGGACACCACCACCGCCTCGGTGACACAAAGGTCCCAGACCCCCACCTGCCCCAAGAGCAGCGGGCCGTGGGCCATGGAGCCGGCACGAGCCAGGAGACCTGAGGGCCAGAGGGCCAGCAGCCGCTCCCTTAAACCCCATGTGAGACCCCTCCCTACCACCTGGTGGGCCCGCTCCGACCATGGGGGAGGCCGTACCCTGAGGGACAGGCCACCAACCCGTGCTGCTCCTCCCACCAGGACGCCCAATGCCTGCAAGCCAAGGTCCCAGTCCCTCGGGGACAGACAACTCCGCTGAGCTGAGGCTGCCGCTCGGCCGGCCCTCCTGCCCCACGCCCACCGTGTAGGATGTGACCAGCCGCTCGGCCGGCCCCCCACCCATGCTCACCGTGTAGGACATGACCAGGTTGATCATGCCCTCCTTGTCGTCGCCCTGCCGGCCACTGAGGCTGTACCACTCGTCCTCCACCTTGCCCTGCTTCAGGGACTCGGGGATGGTGACGTGCGTCCAGGCGATGCGGTCGTCCATAGAGAAGGCCCGCTGAGGGAGATGGGGGCCCAGGTGCTGCTGTCACTGCAAGGCCCGGCCTTGAGGCCCTGCCCCTGCCCCTGCCGCCCCCCCTCCGGCCCCATACCCCACTTCCCCACGGGTGCCCTCACAGCCCCTCAGCCCCGCCCATCATCCCTGCCCTGAGACCCCCGCCCACACCCCCACCCTCACCCTGCCCCCAGGGGGCCACCGCCTCCAAGAGTTACCCCCCACCCCCCCAAGGTCTGGCTCCCCCACCACCCTCATCCCCATGAGGCCAGGAGGGCCTCAGTCAGCATCTGGACAAGTGTGATCTGGCCTCCGCCCACCCTCTCGGGACCCCTTGCAAGTCCAAAGCCTAGTGGGCATGGATGGAGGAAAGGAGGCCCTTTCCCTGCTAGGCAGGCCCTCCCTTCTACCCCTGTGCTGAGTAACGGAAGAGGAAGAGTAGGAGGGAGAAACCTAGGAAAGAGGAAGGGCAGAGGGCACTGCACCTGGGGGGGGGGGTCACCTCCAGGCCCTGCTGCCCAACCCCCAGCCCTCTGACCTCTCATCCTGCCAACCGATCCCCTGGGGCTCCCTGGACAGCCACGGAGGACTGGGCTGCCCCACACAGGTGCCCAGAGGACCATGCTCAGAAAGAGCCCCACTGCACCTATCTGACCCCCCCAGGGACACTCGGGGGGCTGGCAACTTGCCCAAGAACCCCGTTCCACCCAGTGTGGGGTCTGACCCACTTTACGTCCAACCTGGTTTCAAGAGCTAGCCTCCGTGTGCCTTTGGTTTGGGGATGTGTTCAGGGCTTGGGGAAGGAGTGCAGTCAACACTGTCTCCTTGCTGCCCGGTGTTCCCATCCCTGCTGATGCTGTTTCTGAATCTAACGGGTGAAAGGATCTGCATGAAACTGTGTACTTTTCACTGCTGCTGGGGACACCAGCACACCCGTCACAAAGCAACGACACACCCTGTGTCTGGGCACGCCTGCAGCTCCTGGACAGCCTCAGTGGTGGAAGACAGGGCAGCTGTGGCTCCGGTGTGGCCCTGCGCGGCCTGCACCCGCTGGGCCCGTGATGGTGGGCGGCCCTCTCACCTCGTCGAAGATCTCCAAGTAGAAGGAATCCACGCCCGGGGGCACCGTGCACTGGATGACTTTATTCCAGCGAGGATTCTTGGCACCGTTGTGGGCGGTGGGTGTCTCGTAGACCGCGTAGCCGAGGCGCAGTCGGCAGTACGGGTCCATGCGGGTCATGCCGTAATTTTTCGCCAACTTGGCCTGAAATACAGCCCTTGTTACTGAACGAGCAGCTGCCGTCAGAATGAAAGACACACACTCACCTAAGTTGTCCACCCTCTTCGAGTCATCAACCCCAGGGTTTTCCGGGGAACAGGACACAGCCAAAGACTGTTCCTGGGCACCAGGTGCCGAAGGTCCCAGCTCAAGTCAAGGGAGCCGCTGTGCCGTGTGGGGCAGCTCCTTCTCCAGCGTCCCCTCAGAAGAGGCTGCAGAGGAGGGTGACAGGCAGGCTGTCCTGGGCCAGAGCCGAGAGCCACCCGGGACACGGGGTTTGAGAGCCAGCCTGGAGCAGCGGGATGGAGAGTTCAGGGCACCCTGCCCCGCCACCGCCTGGCTCCCCTTTCTGTTCTCTGTCCGCTACTGCAGGTTATGAATCCCGAGGAGCCTAACCTTCAGCCAGACAGGCTGCCTTTGCAGGGGAAAAAAGCACAGGGACTGATGAAGAGGGAAGGCTTTGGCTGCCTAGGGTATCGGTCAGCAAACATCCTTCCAAGCGTCTCACACACTGGAACATAAAACCAAAACCACGTAACTTCAACGTGGAGACACCTGGGTAGGACAGCACCACCACGGCCCTGGAAAGGAGGGCGGCGCGCGGCCGCCTGCCAGCACCAACACGGACCTGCACGCGTCCACCAAGAGAGGCACACGGGCAGGTGCATGTGTGACAGAGTGCCAGGCCCAGGACAGAAGGGCCTCTCAAATCTCAGCGATGAGAACACAGCCCAGTAGAATGCGGGCGAAGGCCCGCAGGAGAAACGTGATGGCTCCACACAAAGGAAAACCCCAACAAGCCCAAACCAAACCAGCCCTGTCCTGATCACGCGAAGGACCTGCACCCTGCATGCGGGAAGCAGACGACACGCCTACTGGACACCCAGAAAGAGGCCCCATGGGCTATGGTGTAGATGCTCCCATCTGCAGCTGAGTGGACGGCTGGCCTGGGCGTGGGGGCAGGGAGGGGAGAGGGGAGCCAGGGGCCCGAACACAGAGCGCTCCACTCCATCGGCAGGAACCACCAGGGACACACCCCAGGGAGGGAGGCCAGGAAGCACGGTGGGGCCCCCCGCAGACCGAGGGGAGAAAGGCTTATCACAAAGGGCCATGGGCCACGCTGAGGCCCAACAGGCAAAATGGGGCTGGGAGGATGGTGTGGAGGGTGTGGACCGGCTGCTCGTGTGGGCGCGTGAGAAGTCGGACTTTCAGAAACACACGAGTATCTGAGGTGACCCTATCAGCCCCACGAGTGTGGCCAGGTGTCTGGGGTGCAGTCCCCTTAAAACCCACGGTATTCGCAAGGCCCAACTGTGACTCTGCCTCCCAGACTCCCCTTTCTTCTCGGTTTCACAGAAAGCTGTGGTGACCAAAGCCACGTTAGATCCTGACCACGCCTTTGGCTTTCCTGGGGTCCATTCAGCAGCCGGGGCCTCCCTCCGTGCCCCTCGGAAGAGGCATTGGCATGAAGGGGCGGTGCCCGGCACACAGCACACGCCCAGCACATCCCTCACTGGCTCTTTCTGCTATTTCTGGTAGAAGCCTGGGTCATTCTCAGTATCTCACTTACATCATTTCTCATCAGGTATGTTTCAAGAAAAACGAATCACAAAAACCATTTGTCCACACAGAAAATGCGGCCTGACAACCACAGCCCACAGAGCAGCCGCATGCAGGGCGGCCCCCACCCCGAGCAGGCCCCAGGGAGTCCCCGACACCCACCTGTACCACGGTGATGCTGAGGCGGCCCACCGTGCCTGCCGCCGCTCCATACTGCAGCCGCTGGGCCGCCTGCACGTCCAGCTGCACCTGCTGCTGCGTGGCCGTGGGCGTGATGCGGAGGAAGTCCTGCGGGAGCTCGCCGACGTACACCTTTGGGGCAAGCACGTGCGTTAGTGTGGCGGGAGCTCAGGGCGTCATCTACAAAGCAAGGGGCCCACTGGGTCCAGGGTCTCCAGCCTGAGTGCCTCGAGCCACCACGCTGCCCTCCAGCATGGAGCCCACTCCTGGTGGACACGGAAACACACACCGGCCTCTGCTCAGGCGCTGACAGCAGGTTCTCATGATCAGAATGGCCCCCTGACGGTCTCTTGGGCCGTGGTCAGGTGTCACACACCCTCTGCCTACGTGTCCGTCATCGGCTTTCCCCGCGGACTGCAAGGCACTGGTTGAAACCAAGTAGTGAGACAAAATCGGAAGCTTGGAGCTCCAGGTGTACGGAACCCCCCCACCCCCAATGCTGACACAGCTCAAATGCAACAACAGCCCAGAAGACCCCACAAAGCCCCAAACAGCCCCCTTCTGCCTCTTGCTGAACTCCCTGTCCGCAAGGCTGCCTGGCCTCCCAGAGACGGGGCCGGGGACACGCAGGACAGTGGACTGTGCAGAGGCCCCAAGGGTTCCGAGAAGCCAGTCTTCCAGGAAGAGGCAGCGGCTACCTCGGGAGTTGGCTGCCACATGTGGCAGCGGCCGTGGACAAGGCTTCCCCTGCAGAGATGAGCAGAGCATGGCCCGCCGGGTGTTGGACGCCCAGGCAGCCTGCACTCCGCTCTTCCCCGGGCAGGGTGGGTTCAGGGTGCGCAGCCCCCGGGCCACAGATCCCCGTGGGAGGGAGCAGCAGAGCTACAGCCCAGGGCCCGCCTGCAGGGGTCCCCAGGTCCTCCTTGGCTGCCCCAAGGGGACATCACAAGGCTGAGAGCCTTGAAGAAGTGTTATTTTCAAGAAATGCCAAAAGGAAAACCCTGTGTCACAGGGAGTTGTGGCAAACTGCATTTCCTGACAGCAACCACTGGGGACCACCTCAGATGTCCACGCACCAAATATCCTAAGGCCTCTATTGCTCAAGTTCTGGCCTTCCAGATGACATGGATCTGGCAGGATTCCAGAAGGTTCTGCACCCACTGAGGTCATAAGCACCAATGGGAAAGCATTTCTCCCCAGACGCCTTGTGCTGTTTCATTTCAAACATCCCTAGAAAGGTCTAGATTCCTGTCCTCCGTGTCCCCATCTCAGGCCTGGAGATCACCCAAACCAGGCACTGAAACCGATGGAAACCCACTCAAGACCCTGGGGTCAGTGGCTCCGCCCCGGCCACTCCCACCTCGGCACCCATCAGCTTGGTGCTCCAACTACTTCCTCTGCAGAGCAAGAGCACCCTTCTCCCGGCTGTACCCCACACTGGGCCGACTTACGCACCTGAAGAGGACAGCAATTTACACCTTCTTGGTCTGGGGTGGGCGGCCCCAGTGGGCCCACAGGGGACCCGAGCACTCATTACAGACGGAAGGGAAAGCAGCGGCGCCCGGGAGGCCCAGGGTTGCCAGGTGAGGAGTGCACCGCCTCCCAAGGGGCCTCGCAGGTGCCCTTCCCCCGTTGTGCCACGTGGCTCACCAGCAGGGCCCAGGGCTTGCCCTGGAAAGAAGGCCGCACACCCTCCATCACAGCTGAGATGCTGCAGCTGGCCTGGCAGCTACCAGACCAACACCCATCGCCAGTTGCTGTGGGCAACTGGGAGCCACACTCGCAGCCAGCGCTCTTCCCAGCGGACACGGGGCCGGATGCTGCCTTGTCAGCCGGCCTTGAGCCTCCCAGCCTCCACCTGCAGGGGCCGTGGTGAGCTCTGCCCGCTCCTGTGAACACAATCTGGCAGACACAGACTCATGCCAACCAGATTCTCATTTATTCTGAAAAATAACCGCTCACCCCATATCACACACGGCAGCTCTGAGGATCCAGCAGGGAATGGGCCATGCCCTTGGGGGGCACACCGGGGATGGCCAGGCATATGTCTGCAGCGACAGTGGTGACAGGGTGTGCTCAGGCATGGGGATCATTATTTCTGTTTCCCATCATCCCATCATCTGAATGGGACTTGCAGAACCACATTTCCTTTCTACTGTACTCATCTGGGTTTCTTCAAGAAGAACACACTCCTTTTTAATGGGGGGAAATAAAATTGTATCAAAGGTCAGAGATCGGGGTGCCTGGGTGGCTCAGTCAGTTGAGCGTCCGAGTCTTGATTTCGGCACAGGCCACGATCTCAGGGTCCTGGGATCAAACTCCATGATGGGCTCCTTGCTCAGAGGGGGGTCTGCTTGGGACTCACTCTCCCTCCACCCCTCCCCCCGGCGCTCGCGTGTGCTCTTTTGAGTAAGTAAACCTTTACCAAAAAAAAAAAAAGGTCAAACATCTAGTATTTTCAACCACGTTTTAACTATAAAACTATAAATGTGAAACGAGGATCTTTACAACATAAATTAAGAGTGCAAACAAAACACGGGAAGGGGACAGAAGTTGAGCCCCCTGGCCAACGCCAGCACCGACAGGCTGGGGCATGCCGGGTTCCTGAAAAGCCGCAAGGAGGGCACCACGTCCCAGAGGCTTCTTCCCACCCAAGGGACAGGCTACAAAATCCCTGACCAGCAGACCCCAAAACAAGGAAAGTCTGAGATGGTCCCAGAGAGCAAGCCACTAAGGGTCCGTGGCAGCTCTGTGCCCTGTGGGGTCTGGGCTGGAACCCTACGACAGAAGGGACAGTGAGGCAAACGCGGGGCATCCAAATAAAGCCCGGAGTGAGCGGTCACACACCAAAGCCAGGTCTCTGGTTGTGACAGACGTGCCCTGCTGACGTCACCAGTGAGGACCTCACACAAGGTGCAAAGACGCTGGGGCTCTCCGAACTGTTACAGCCATTCCGTAACTCTAACATGTGAAGTTTGTCAGAAAACATGTCAACTTAACTAAAAAAAAAAAAGGAAACAGCGCCCCACTTCTTACTAAATACCAAGCTTTTGGTCATATGCAAGCAGCACCCGCGGCCCCGGGAGCCGGCAAACAGGTCTGCCCGCTGCTCCAACCACGGCAGAGTCCGGCCACGTGAGCGGACTCCCACACCTGCAGTCAGCACTGCAGATGAAACCAGTCCGCAGTCAGGCCCGCCAGGCGAGCCCGGGCGCCAACACGAGCCCGACCACTTCAGAGACCAGCTGGGGAAGGTCGGCATGAGCGCCTGCGTTACTGACATACAGAAGTTCAGGGCTAATCCTAAAATTTACTTTTGCAATATAACAATGGAGGAAACGTCTGAACGGTCACATCAAAGTACATGCTTTATCCTGGCTCAAGGACTAGAGAGAATGGTTAATCTTGATCAGAAATAAATAATGGACATTGTAAACTGTCATCTGGCTCATGCTTACAAGATGGATACAGAGTCCAAAACAGACTGTCAGCCGTGCGCCGGCTGGGGCAGGGGGCCCTCTGGGCCTGTCTGTCGTCACTGTCCCCGCAAGGACCATCTACCCCTCGCCACCTCACAGTCTGCAGTGTCTATCAGTCCACGTTCCGTCCACGGACTCGTGCTCTGCATACAAACAGCGCTCCTCAGTTAAAGCAGGCTTACGATAAAGTTTTTAGGGGCACCTGGGTGGTTCAGTTGGTTAAGTGCCTGCTGCTGGTTTAGGTCATGATCTTGGGGTCCTGGGATGGAGCCTGGGACTGGGCTCCCTGCTTCTCCCTCTGCCCCTCCACCCTGTTGGTGTGCATCCACTCTAACAAATAAATAAAATCTTTAAAAAAAAAAAAAGGAATAAAGTTTTTAAGTTAAAAGTTAGGTTAAAAACCAAAAACCTATTAATGCTTTGTATCTGTATTTGTTGAGAACCTTAAACATATTTACTTATAAGTTAAAATGCGTCAAATTACGCACACAAATCAGCAATTTATATAAACACAGTACCAATGTAATCAAGAATTAAAAATTCATTCAACTGTTACTTTTCCAGTAAAACATCTGGAAAATTTTCTTAGAAAATATTTTTAGTGAACTTTTAACTTTTGCTTGAAACGAGAAAATACTTTTTAGCCACCCGCTGGATGTTCTTTTTGGTGCCCCGACATCGTGACGGGATGGAAAACGCCTGTGGTACGAAAACAAACATGAGAACAAGGCAGAGCTCCCGTGTCCATGTGCCCCACCAAGCCGATGGCCACGTGACACTCAATGAAACAGGGCATGACGATGCCGCGAGGAGCGGGGAGCCCCAGTGCAGGCCGCCAGCCACTGCGAGGCCTTCTGTTCCCTCTGCCTCCTCTGAGAACCTGCCCTGCCCTCTGGGGCCGGCGTCACAGGCACTCAGGGCTCCGGAGCCCCCACCACGGTCCAAAGAGACACCCCAACACAAATGCCTCCTTGGTCCACAGCTATCACTCGGCTCTCGGTCCACATCACTCACACTGGAACCAGGGCTGAAAGGGACAGAGGAAGGTGACAACAGAGACACAGAGAAGCCCGTGTGGCCACGAGCTGTAGAGGGGCCAAGGGCCAGGTGGCGAAGTCAGCAGCTCACAGGACAAGGAGCCCCAACCTCGGGACGGTGTCTGGTGGGCCAGGAGCCCCGAGCCTCCCTGGCATTGCAGGGGCCTGCCCTGCTGAAGGCCCTGCAAGGGCACACTTGCCACTAGATTCACCGAGGCCACAGCTCAGCAGGAGCGCAAACACAGCAGCTGACTTACACCCTGCTGAGTCTGCATGGGAAAGTCTCTACCATAACCACCAAGAGAACAGAAATACAAGTGTTTTCCAGACCAGGACAGAATGAACACCTGAATTTGAGAAACTATTCAATCGCCCCAAAGAACACAAGGGGAGACACGGACACAGAAAAGGTAAACCCGAGCACAGAGGACAACAGCGGAAGGACACGCGTGTGCGTGACCACATACAATTACTTAATGTGTTCCCGCTAAGAGACAAAGACGCTTCTTAGATTTGACTTTTTAAAGGTCTAATGACATGCTGATGATAAACCAACCTTAGACAGACAGAAAGACGTCTGGTCAAAGAATGAAGACACGAACACAAGGTGGATACTCCCACACTAGCATGGGTCCAAACAAGAAAGGCTCCGTGCAGCAAGCAAGGGCACCGCACCCCGACCCTGGACACACCCCCACCCAGCTCGGAGAGGCCAGAGGGAGAGGCCCGGGCTGTCAGCAGGGAGGACCTGGGCCGGCCAGTAGGGTGAGCAGGCATGCCACGGCAGGCAGGGTGTGCACACGAGGCCCACGGGCTCACGTCGGTGCTCAAGAAAGGGAACGCTGCCACGCTCGAGCCTAAAGAGAAAGCCAGGCCTTCCCTCCAAGTCCTGGAAACCAACGGGCAAGAGCTGAGCATTTCCTGACCTCTCTTGCACAACTGTGTTTCAGCACAAACAGACAGTGGACCATCTGCAAAGCCATCTTAGCAAACAGTCCCAGTTAATAAAAACAGAACAAGCCATAAAATACAAATATCACCCTTTCCCACCCAAAAGTCGTCACTGATCCAGCAATAATTATCAATATCGAAGTTATTTACATTCACCACTTACTCGAATTTATCTGTATATTTAAATATCTATTTATATTTATATGGAATTAAGAACGTTGTTACTACGTCGTCTATCAAGAACAATCATCATCATCATAACAAGGACCTGGACAGTCTCAAGTCACCCAGTGCATCCCTGTGCATGGCACCCAGGGCTCCACTGGGTGACACCCAAGTGTCACCCAGCAGACCAGCTCAGGTCAGGAGGGAAAAGCCATCATGAGGAGGACGGTGCGCTCAGCCTGAACCCACTGACCGATCAGCACCTCCAGGGGGAGGACGAGTGGTTGTGGTCAGCCTGAACTCCGGGGGGCCCACCCACACATCTGTGAGGGAGGCTGGAAAGGCTCCTACACCCCACACCCCTGACTGAGCCTCGATCGCCATCCCCATGAGTTGACAGACACTATGTGGTTTAAAGCAGCGTGTCCTACAAACTCCCCAAGTTCTAACAAGGAAGGCAGGGGCCCATCAGGTGCTTCTGAACGATCTGTGGACTGGACAGAAACCCTGGAGAGAAAATAGACGTCACAAGAATACTAGCAACGTGAAAAGCGGGGCAAACAGCACAGGCCTGGGGCATGGCTCAGTGGCGATTCAGGGAAGGAACTAGCCTGGACAGACAGATGCCTAAGAACCATCTGAGCCCCACCGAGGGAAGCAGCCAGCACTGCTTCATCCTCAGCCCACCTCAGCCCACCTCACCCAGCCCCTCAGGCTGCCCTGTGTGAGGACATGGGAAACACCCCCTCACCCCTACCAGGCAGACTCCCGTTCCTCCTTCACGTCCCCAAAGACGCTGCCTTCACTCCTTTGTGGCAAGTGGGGGGTGACGGTCAGACTTCAGAGTATGTCCCACACATGTGAGTCCAGGCTCTGGGCTCCCTGGAGCCCCAGTGGAGCCCTGGGTGCCATGCACAGGGATGCAGCCCAGCGGCTCGGGGCTAATGCTCAGGAGAGCCGCCCAGTCACCACCCAGCACCTGAGCCCTGCCCAGTGCTCCTTCACCACCGCCTGCTGGGATAGCTGAGCACCTCGCCTCATCCTGTGCCTGCAGAGCACCCAGCACCCCGTGGAGTCCGGGCACCCTGGGTAAAGGAAGAGGCCCACCAGACTCGAACAATGGCAACATGGTCCTTACAAGGACTGCTTAGCCCAGAGGGGAGCAGGGAGCATGAAGAGGCTGTGTGCCAGGCAAAAAGCTTTCTTAAAAAGTTAACACTGTAGTGACCAGATAAAACTCAAGCACCCAATCCATTTGCTGCCTGCAGGCCTTTCATCTGGAAAAGCACCCTGGCCATGCCTGTTACTCGTACTGGCACAGGCACCCACCCTCCCTGGCCTTCCAGCAGCAGCCCACCCTCTCTCCCTCCAGGCCCAGCCCCTCCCCACGGGCTCCTCCTTCAAGTGTTATGTTAGGTGCCATCTCCCCCCAGGAACCTTACCCACCTCAACCATGGCCACCTTCACATCTAAGTCTTGAGTTAAGACCCACAGCTCTGGGGCGCCTGGGGCGCTCAGCCGGTTGAGCGTCTGACTTTTGGTTTCAGCGCAGGTCATAATCCCGGGGTCGTGGGATTGAGCCCCACATCGGACTTCACACTCAGTGCAGAGTCTGCTTGTCCCTCTCCCTCTGCTCCTCCCCTGCTCATGCACTCTGCTCTCGAACGCTCTCTCAAATAAATAAAATCTTAAAAAAAAAAAAAAGACCCACAGCTCTGAGTGTGCAGCTCACCAGCTCGCAGGCTGTTTGCCGCACTGCCCTGTAAGATCCTGATGGGGGCACCACACCTGGATGTTCACTGTATCGTGCTGCCCCAAATACCATGATCAATAACACTGGCTGAGGAAGAAGTCACATGCCCTGCACTGGCACTCAAGACCCCAGCCCCGGATGACACCTTCCGGGAGCCCCCACCAGCTCCGGCCCAGCCCTGACATTACTGCGTGTTTGCAGGTCACGGAGGGCACCCTATACTGCACACCAACGACACACGTAAGGCCACAGCACGGTCACATGTGCCAGGAAACACCATACTCACGGAGTCAACAGAGAAGCAGCACGGGACAACATAGGCCCCACGTGTGTGAATGCTCTCAGACGCTCCTGCTCCCTCCCTCCGGGCTGTAGGGGCTTCGGCTTTATGCTGTCACAGAACTGAGTGTTCCCCTGGTAACAGGACGAGCTGAGCTCCACAGAGTGCTCCCTTCACACCAGACACCGCGCCCAACTTTGTGCGTGTTTACGCTCAGTCCCACGCCTCCAGTGAAGTCCCGCACAAGGGCACCGGGTTCCCAGGAGGCTGAGGACACATGACAGGCCAGGGCAGGGGCTGTCCTGCCAGACCATTAAGCCCACTCCTCCCCGGCGGGGGGGTGTGGGAGGACAAGGAAAGGAGCCGCTGGGGTTCCCTTGCTCTTCATCAGCCAGTTGCATAAACATGAGAAATTGCTGGCAGCGAACCTGCTGTAATTTGCTGCGAAGATGGAGCGTTGGACGCCCCAGGACGAGTCCAGAACTTTCCCCACTGGCTCCAGGACCTTCCCACACCCAAGTCCGACAGGAAGTGTGAGTCAGGTCCCCTTCAAAGCTCTCAGAAAGGGTACCTGTGCCCAAAGGGGAATTCCGACAAAACCAGGGTCTTCCTTTCAACCTCAGAAAAAGCGTTCTGTGAACAGATCCTCCTCTAGTGTGCACAAACAAGACCCCACCACGTCCAGCTTTAAGGGTGAGAAGCCCTGGGAATGGGAACTTACTCTCAGCAGCTGACTCTGAGATCACATCAAAGGAACCTTTTTTCCTGCTCAAAAGGACCAAAATGTTCCCCTGCTGGGCATCTTGAGCTGCTGTTCATAAAAACTTCAGGTTTGTGACAACCCGCCCCTGATGCAGTCTGAATGGGCTGCTGGGAGGCTACCTCACCGCCCGGCCATCCTGAGCCAGTCTACACCGGCTGTCCTGCAATGCCACAGTGTGGGGGTCCACACAGGAGCCCTCCGACTGAGAACTGAGAAGGGCCCTCCCAGGGCCTCGGTTCCCACCCTCTCATTCGCAAATGAAAAACTGACGGTGTGACAAGTGGCCCCTAACTGGGGACACGCAGCTGGGCTAGCGAGTCTTACTCTGCGCGGGGGGAGGACGGACACCATCTGGGGTTCAGGGTCCTCCTCTACAGAGAGACAGCCGGGGGGGCTGCTCCATGCGAGGACCATCCGGGGCACAGGGGACCCTCCTCGGTCCGGGGGACCCACCCGGGGTGCGGGGCCTCCTCCGTCCGGGGCCGGCCCCGCCGCGCCACCGCCCCGCCCGGAGCCCGTCGCCGGGCCCTACCCGGAGGCTACAGAGCCCACGCCCGCCGCCCGCCCGCAGCCTCACCGGCCCGCGCTGCGTGCTGACGGTGGTCGCCATGGTGCTACCCGGCCCCCGCCTCGCCCACCGGGAGCGAACGCGCCCGCGACCCTCGGCGCCGGAGCCTGCGACGCCGACTGCTGTCCCGCGAAAGCCGCCGCCGCCGCCGCCGCCGCCTCGGTCAGCTGACGGCTGGCCCCGCCCCCGCGCTGCTCACTGCGCAGGCGCCGCGCCCGCCCCGCCCCTTCCGGCACCGCACGCACGCGCGCTCCCGGCGGGCGCCTGCGCAGTCGCTCTCCCCGGGCCGCGGCCCTGCGAAATGGCTCCCGAGCTGGTCGTGTGCGCATGCCCGCCAGTGGCCGGCCCGCGCCGGTCACGTGGCCCGCGGAGCGGGGGGGAGGGGGGCCGCCCCCCAGTCCCCGCTTGGCGCGGCCCGGCAGCCCTGAGGTCCCTGCAGTGGTCTGCGAGCGCACAGCACGGACGGCCCCGGGGCCAGGACGGGGGCGCTCCTGTTCCGGCGCCCCCGCCGCCGCGGCTCCCGCGCCTCCCCGCGCGCGGTCCCCCATCCCCCGACCCTCCCCACCCTCCTGGGTGCCACAACCCCCACCATGACGGGCGGCGCCCACCCGCCGCGCTCCCTGGCCCGAGGCTGCAGCTCTATCCTCCCCTGGCCTCTCGGTCCAGACGAGAATAATTACGGAGCCGCATCTTAGAACTGTCTGTGCCCCGGATCCGAACAGAACCCGCTTCCTTAAACCTGCACGATCACCTACGGAAACCCAGTCCTCCGTGGTGTGTATTCTCATTCATAATCCCAACGTGCTAAGCGGGGGGGCCCTACACGCAAGACCTGAGTCCTTTCCCTCTGTGCAGCTCCCCAGGGCTGTCCCAAGTGGCCAGCCCGCTGCGGGTCTGTGTAGTCACCATATTTGCCAGAGCACCTGGGAGTCCCAGCCGCTTGCCGCTTGGCTACCCATCTATTTGCCCTCCGCTTGCCTACGTCCCATGGCACCACTGGTGAGAATCCGAAGTTTGGGATGCCGGCGCATGACACATCCCTAGCGCTCAAGTGCCCCCTGGCAGGATTTTATCCCCGTGCTGGTCAAACAGATGAGCAACTCAATCCTGAACCCCATTTTGAGAGTCTGTTTTCTGGGGCCACTTCTGGTGGCAATTACTGTATCAGTCAGGGTCCCAGCAAGAAACAGATGGCATGCTCACAAAGATAATTGGAAGAATTTTAATAAACGGACGAGTTACAAGGAGGAACAGTTAAGTGAAGGAGCAAGGCTTGGTGAGGGACGCAGCAGTGAGCAGGGGAAGAGGCTCCCTCAGCCAAAGGCTTAGCCTACGCAGACGAATGAAGCCCCCCTGAACCGCAGGCCTGGGGGCGGGGCCTGGGGAAATAAATACTCCCACCCCCCCACACACACACATCTCCAGGTGTCTCCCATTAACCCAACCAGGTGACCAGTTTGCAGAGGTCACCTTCCTGGAGCACAAAAAAAGTCAGAGGAAGGTGGAGGGTGAATCTGGAGCATGTGGAGGCTGCCCTACACATGCATTATTAAATATCAGCACTCACGGGAGGGTACAGTTCTGTCAAACAGAAAAGACAGGAATGTCTAGGGGTGGCTGGGTGGCTCAGTCGTTAACCGTCTGCCTTCGGCTCAGGTCATGATCCAGGGGTCCTGGGATCGAGCCCTACATCGGGCTCCCTGCTCTGCAGGAAGCCTGCTTCTCCCACTCCCCCTGCTTGTGTTCCTGCTCTTGCTGTCTCTCTCTCTGTCAAATAAATAAATAAAATCTTTAAAAAAAAACCTTCTAAAGATCATTAAGGAAAAATTATAAAACTTTACTGAAAGACATTAAAGAGTACCCGAATAAATTGAGAACTATATACTATATTTGTGGATAGGAATGTTCAGTATCAGAAATACATCAATTCTTCCCCAAATTGCCCTACAAAAGAAATTCTCATTAAAACCCCAGAAGGGCTTTTTAAAAGAAATTTAGCAAACTGATTCTAAATGTGTATGGAAGAACACAGGCTGAATAATAGCTGGAACATTCGAGAAGGAGGCAGAGATGGAAAGGAACTGTCCTAGGAGATGTCAAAATATTATAAAACTAGCAATCAAGGTTCTGGTGTTGATGTGGGGATAGACAGATTCACCAGTGGGACACAGTATGGAAATGATTTACAAGCATGCCGGCCTGGCTGAACAGTTGGGAAAGGAAAATTTTTTCAATCAGTGTGCTAAAACAATTAGCTGTACTTGGGGAAAAATTTAAATTGGACCCCTATTTTATGCCAACCCAAAGAGCAATTCCTGGCTGGGATGGAATGGATCCAAAAGATACCTGATGGCTCCCACATCTATGTTATGTTTCGAAAGGATAAAATGAGGGTGAGCTGTCACCTCTGCTCTGATCCATCTGGAAAGATGTGAGCAGGAGTCGAGGAGTTGGGAGGTGGCCCTTATAATGGGAGGGAAGCTACTTAGTAAACCCAGTGCGAGAGCAAATTGTTCAGCAGACCACGCATCCTGAATCAGGGCACAGACCAAATGTCCCTGAGAAGGGGACAGGGATCCGGAAGGTGGAAAAAAACAGAGTGAGGCAGGCCAGAGAGGGGGTTTTCAAACCCAGAGTGGGGAGTCAGGTGAAATAATGAGCTGTCCTCATGGGGCTTTCACGAGCAGAGCGGGGTGGAGAACACGCCTTTGGCAGAATTAGAGGCCAACTGTATTTCCTTGAAGGGAGCTGTAACATAAACACTGGTTCCCCCGACTGATGGCTCATGGTGTCGCACAGACCCAGTGCCGACATTCGGAGCCTCGGCCCCGTGTGTCACCTGAGTGGTGTCTGCCATGGGATCACTGCTCCCAGGCCACTGCCACATTGTCACGGGAGTCCCACCCTCCCTGGCCTTTCTGTGTCCGGGTTTCCATGGCACACATGGGTCTCAGTATTTGTGGGGCACCTTAATGTGCCCGGGAGCCCCAGACGGACTTCCTGGGTGTCTTGGGTGGGATTCTTGAGAAATAATATTGTTAAAATAACATTTTGAGTCTTTAGTCTGTGTCGGGTATTGTTCCGCATGCTTGATGCATATCATCTCATGAGTTTGCACAACGGTCCTACGGAGGGTGTGCTTTTCTTCTCTGCGTTACAGATAGGGGTAACAAGTGAAGGATGCACATGTTTACAATGTCTACCTCCAACAAGTAACTAGTACCGACAATATACAAATACTTCCCGCAAGTCGCAAAATCCTGTAAAACGAAAAAGGAGACCAGGCAGGTAAAGGAACAGGTGTTTCGAACTGGCAATTCAAAGCTTTGACAGGTGTATGGAGGGGCACCCAAACTCACTAATAATAAGGGAAATAACATGACCATGAGGCACCGCTTGACATCCACCAGAACAGTAAAAGTTAGGGAGGAAGGGCCACAGGTCAAGGCGAGGATCGTGATGGGAAGCTCTTGTGGCGCTGGTAGGAAGACAGACTGCTGGACGCTCTCTGAAAAGTAGTGCAGTCATGCTTGGTAAGGGGTGCCAGTGAGCCGTCTCCTGAGGGCACATTCTGGAAACACATACACTGATCCACAAGGGAATGCGTTCAGGCTGTTTGCGGCAGGGTTGTTTGTGTAGCAGAAGTGGGCGGCCTCATCATTCACCTTTAGAGGAATGAATAAACCCAGTGTGGTGGGTATACAGAACGCTATGCAGTAGGGAGAAACAATAATGTGGGTGTCTGCAGAACAATGCACATGCATTTAAACAATCCACACGGATATTTTAGGCAGCAGCTTTCAGGACCCAACCATCAGGCAGCCAGGGCAGCATTCCCGTGAGACAGGAAACGAGGTGAGCCCGAGGACTGTCCCTGCTCACCGCTGACAGAGGGTTTCCGGGCTGCTGGGCAGGGAGGGGTGACTGAGGCGAGCACCAGTGGTCTCCCTGAGCCAGGAGACTTGGAGCCGGTAGGGTGGGATTCAGGGAGGGGAGCCACACAGAGAAAGAGCAATGGTACCAGCAGCACATCCCCTGCAGTCTTCGGCTGAGGACAGAGTGGCAAACACATGGGATAAAACTGCCTGAGGCTGGGAAAGAACCGTTTGTAGGAATTACAGAGTAATACCACTAGCCCACCCAGGGTCTGGACCAGTTACTATTTCCACCAGTCAGAGCAAAAATCCACATGACCAACAGGACCCCGAGTGGACCACTGGGCAGGGTCAGCCTTAATACCACCAGGGATAAAGTTGGTCTCCTTAAAATGATAAAGGGATAAACATATTAAGGGGACATAAGAATCCTACAAATTTACATGTCCAGTTATAGAGCTTTGGAACACTTGGAACAGAATGTGTCAGACCACAACCCTCCCAAGAACGTTCGGCCAGACAAATGGGAACTCAGTAAGGGCACACACGACCCAAGCAATGTAATCTGATTGACACAGAAAACAACAGTAAAATACGTATTTTTAAGTGCACACTGAACATTTACCAACATAGACCATATTTTGAGCCAGAAAACGGTCTAAAAGATTCAAATCATACAAATTATATTCTCTGGCCGAAATAGTATTACATTAGAAATCAATAAAAATATACCTAGAAAATCCTCCCGTTATTTGGAAACTAAATAGCCCATGTATCGGGGCGCCTGGGTGGCTCAGTCGTTAAGCACCTGCCTAGGGCTCAGGTCATGATCCCGGGTTCCTGGGATCGAGCCCCGCATCAGGCTCCCTGCTCGGCGGGAAGCCTGCTTCTCCCTCTCCCACTCCCCCTGCTTGTGTTCCCTCTCTCACTGTGTCTCTCTCTGTCAAATAAATAAATAAAATCTTTAAAAATAATAATAAATGAATAGCCCATGTATCAAAGAAGAAATTAAGAGGAAAATTAGTATTTTGATCTGAGTGAAGATTAAAAACTCAGCACCGTGTTTTTTTGTGGGTGCAGCTAACACAGCATATAGGGGAAATCCATGGCTACATTAGAAAGGAAGAAAGATCTGAAGTCACTGACCTCAGCATTCCCCTTTGGATATGAGAAAAAGAAGAGCAAAGTAAGTAAATTCTAAGTAAGCAGAAAACAAGGAAAAAATAAACATCATCAAATAAATCAATGACATAGAAAATAGAAAGACCACAGAGAAAATCAGTAAGAACAAAAG